GGGGGGGGGTGCGGTGTAGAAATCTCGTTGACGTCTCCTGCGACACTAATCTCAAAGATCTACTGCGTTTCAAGAGCATTGCATCAGCTGTTGTTGGCTGCGGGGTGAGCTATAGTGACCGGATCAGCTGACGGATGAGCAGCTGTAGCTTCGTTGCAGAACTGCTGCAAGCCAATAATATATAAATATATAGGCAATATACGGACCCTTTTGGGCGCTTTTTCGGTAGTTCCCACCCCACAATTTTATTCACGGGTTTGGACCACAAGAGTAGGGGGGTTTCAGGGGGGCTTGCCCCCCCGACCTAATAAAAACAGGAAGGGGGGTTTCAGGGGGGCACACAAATAGAACTACATTGTATCAATACTTTGCATAAAACATGGGGAAAAAAGAGCAGACATTAGGCCTAGTCTATCTATTCTTCTCAATTCGGCCCTCATTTCCACCCCTCTCTGACTTCTCATACTGTGCCAAGGAATACTGTGCATAAGTGACCACTGCACAGGCACAGACACGCTCTCGCTCGTGTGCATTGTTTTTAAAACTAAACATGACGCTGTGGGTCTAGATCTAAAACTAGATCTAGATCTAGATCTAATCTAGACATTTAGAATCTAGCATCTTCACTGAAAAATGCACACAGTTGCAATTATTCTTTCAGAAAAGTGCATCTGATCTTCTCCATCAGAATTTTGGAACATTCAAACAGGCCATTATCATACTACAACAAATACGATTGCATCCCAAACAGGGCCTCGCTTCCAAGTGCGATAAAAATTCAAAGCGGAAGCGAGATGAACCGGCAAACCGGCATGGCATGTGACATTTCTCTGGACACTAGGTAGATCAAGGTTATGTCTTACCTGAATTAATAAATCCCTTGGCCATGGCTTGCGCCATGCGACCGCCTCCTATGAATCCAACCATGATGTTGCGATTGAATTCTTGGCTTTCCTGTGAGGCCATAATAAATGTGGTTTGGGAGTAGAAGGTATTTATAAACCGTGAGCTTATCGCAGAGTTCCACCGCCTCGCTCTTGCCGCTAGCCGCTAACTGATGACTGAACTGTGGGAATGGTAGGGAACGTTTCATTGGTTCCCCGATGGAGGCTCCGCCTCTCCCGAATTAGAAACTCGGCACGTGGCGAGTGGCGAGATTTAGATCTATCTGGGAGGATAATTTGTTGAGAATCTTGATTTGAAAACGTAGAGGGTCTGGGTAGCCTAGCCTAGGCTGTCTCGATATCATTTTGTGGTATATTGTTACCAGTAGTGAGTGTCTCCATGCTTGTTTGTTTTATGAGAGTGTGTGCTCTTATGTATTTGCATTTGTGTTTGTATCCGTTTGTGATTGTTCGAGTCTCGTCTTTATGCTTGACATGATCGTTTGAGGGAAGTGAATTGATAACTCAAGTCTTTGTGTGTGTGTGTGTGTGTGTGTGTGTGTGTGTGTGTGTGTGTGTGTGTGTAAGCGTTTTACAGCGCTCGCGCGCGGGACACACATGTTCAGTTGGTAGGTAATTTTGAATTTTGCACGGGTGGCGGCCAAAACTTACTCTCCTCCGTTTTGGACCACCAAGGGATCTTCAACGTTCGCAATTTGCACACGAGACCTCCAAGATTTTTCGCCCTTGTCCGAGAAGGCTAGGTGGAGATCTTTCCTACCATAAGATCAGGGGTGTGGCTGAAAGACAGCAATAAGAAGGAGCCAAGGAGTAGCAGAAGAAAGGCTGCAGAAAGAATTAGGCGCCGAGAGGAGGGGCTATGGAGGTGAGGGGGTGGGGGCTGAAAGAGGAGACAAGAGAAGTCGACAGAACATTGTTAGAGAGCAGGAAAGGAGGTGAAAGGAGACAATTTTAGAGAAGAAAATTTTCCATCGCCACCCGAATTCGAACCCTGGACCCATTGGATGAGAAATGAACACCTAATAAACCTCTTGACCACGAGAACCCCAAACAAGAGTCTTAGGCCTAAACACTCAGTGCTCACCTGCCTGAATCTACTTTTTTTTTTTATCTACACAGCAACATGGCAAAACTCAGACACACACGTGTGCCCGCACATGCACGTCCCCCCTTCTCTCTCTCTCTCTCTCTCTCTCTCTCTCTCTCTCTCTCTCTCTCT